TAACCTTCATGTGATTGCAGTACCCCACATAACAGGCATATTCAAGTCTTTTCATTTCATCAACGCTCAGCATTCTTCAACGATAAGTTCTTCAGAACTATACAGTTTCTTCTTCAGGACTTTGAACCCCGGGCTAAGTTTCAGAGACTGTCCAGACCCCGGGACTGGTTTAGTGCTAAAGAGTCCCTGAATTCTCGGCCACAAGCGAGAGTCCAATTTGAAGAGAACGGTCAGTTGGAACGTAGGGACTACATAGGTGTCGACTTCTAGCTGTGCCACGGTGTGGCAGGTCTTGCCGTTTTCCACGCACAGGTCAATAAGTGCACCCCTCAGTCCACAAGGCTCGCTATAGGCCAGGTGCATCAGTTCTTGGCCCAAGTTGAAGAGAAGGTCATCGGGAGCGAGCAGTTTGGAGCATCTCAATGAGTCAATGTTGGCTTTGTTCAAGCTGCGTTTTATCATCTTCAGAAGACTCGGACAAAGCTGCTCCCCTTCAGGGTCACTGAGGAGGTCTGAATCTGGTATAGAGATGTTATCAGATTCATCGAAATCTGCTGGAGAAAAACAAGGCGACGTCATTAATACGAGATGAAGTACTCATGACCATGCAAAGCTGATCAGCACAATAAACGTCGAAACAGAATTGGCAACAAAGAGATAAAAGTTTTGTTCTAGCACTGGTTACATCAGCGCTCTAAAGGCTACAATAAGGAGAAGAGGAATCATTAACAAAGGAATAAACTTACCGCATGCAGAGAAGGAGTTATTACTGGCGAGGGATTCACAGTCCGAGTTTGGTAGGCTGGAACACCGTTCAGACAAGTCCGTACACTTCTCATCCCACACGGCTTTGGGCTCCTCTTCAATAATCGGAGGGGGCAGAGAGAAAGCCACAGTGTAGAACATACCACCCCGGGCAGGCATGTCTGTCGATGTCAAGGGCTTGTGCAAAACTAGAAATCACTGCAGGGAACAAGAAAAAAGACCGTCAGCCACTGAAACTGGTCAACACATCATCATCATCAAGTGCCAATCAAAGATATGCATCTCTGCAAGCTGTTTATATGAAGTTCTAGGCTGAAAATCCAGAAGTTACTACAGACAAAGACCGAGACCCCTTTGCTTATGCATGGTTATACAAAGCTAGGTCTGCAGAAGTCTAGTTAGAAATCCTGTGCAACGTAAAAAAAAAAAAAAGACAGCAAATGCAATCTAATCCATAACATAGGATTGCTTGAGCATCCCCACCAACCCACCCATAAATATTAGGTCACTCCATACAAAGAACTGCATAAACAAGCTACAACTAAAAGATAACGTTCGTTAGAAGAAAACCTGATACTTACAGTGCTGTAAGGTTTAGACTGCAGAGGAGGGACAATGGTTAAAACTTGATAGTCGGGCAGCGAGTTTGTATTAAGTGCTTAAACCGTGCGCCTGCAGCTGTGTACCCACCCCACTGCTGAGCGCACGCGTGCGAGTTACCATCCCTGGCACTGGCATCGTTCTGTAGCCTCCATCCGCTTATATAGTCCTCGACGCCAGGTCCCGCCCACCGTACGGGGGGGGGGGGCTCGACCTGAAAACGAGTCACGTGAACGCCCACTAATCCTACGGGCCAATGAGAAATCACCGCACGTCCACAACGTTCTTTCCTGCCCGGTTACAGCGGCCGTAAAGCCCCTCCCCCCTCTAGCCCGGAGACAGTGTGCATTAAAGGGAGAGTGTTTATTGTAGGAGGAGGGGGAGGATTTCAAACAAAGGCATTTCAGTACATCATTTCTGCACTCATTTCACTGCAGTCATTGCTTTGTACTGCTGCTGCTGTTTTTTTCTTGCAACCCCCCCCCCCCCCCTCCCCCATATGTTTTCCTTCTCTAGCCAGTAAAGTCTTGCTCATTAAATGAAATTACCTGCACTGTGCTCGCTGCCATCGCTAAAATCTCTATATTTTATTGTCGAGCTAGGCATCTATGTAATAACACGGCGCTTGGCCTATGATAGGACTGCCAGGTCATGTTTATGTGCAGATTGGAGGTTGTTGTTGTTGTTCTTGCACTTTGGATTGTTTGACTTGGCTGCCAATGATCAGTCTTCAAGGTGCATGGAGTGTTGATTCAGAACATCTTCTCTTTTCAGCAAAACAAATCCCATTTAAAGTGCCCGCTGTACTCCATTAACATCCTGACAACGTAGCAACATTGATCGTCTCTGAAGCTCTGGATACAAAACCCCATGCAGTGATCCCCCCCCCCCCTATTAAAGAAGAACCCCAGGCAAAACTATTATTAACTCTTTCAGTTGCGCTACCCCTCTCTGCAAGGGTTAAATGTCTAGGGGTGCAGGGATAACAAGTAAGGTCTCATTCATACTGCGTTAACTCGGGTCGTAAATGTCCGGGTGTCCATGCTCGGATCCATCCTGTCTGTGTCCAGGTACGATTACCTAGACCCGCATGGATGTGTAGCTCTGGTGTGCATACGGCCACGTCCTCCTATAGGGAAGAACAGACTGCTACATGCAGCACCTGTCCCTCCCGGGAACGGCCCGATACGGGCATGCACGCCGCACGGACGTGTATAGCCTGAGTTATTGCGGTGTGAATGAGGCCTTATACTTTCTCATTCCCCCCCCCAATCCATGCAACCGCTTCCACAAAGCCTCCTTTATGAAGCGCTCCCGACCGCGATAAAACGCTCACCTGCTCCGTGTACAATTGCGGGTTCATAGCGATGTATTGTACATGATGACACTGAGGGACCGCCAAGAGCGTCAGGGGGGAGTATTGTGACGTGTCATCTGCACTTCTTACAGCGATTGGACCTTGATTAAAAGTCGTGGTGCTCGTAGTGATTACACGAAAAGCGTCGTGTTTTGCAAAATCGAAGACAACGGAGATCACCGCGAGTGACGCCACTGTGTCACCCTGAAGAAGGGACCCTGCGTGGCCCCGAAACGTTGGCTAAATGACGCTTGTGATGTGTCATCAATAAATCGGCAAAAGAATCCAATGCTTTTTGACTGAGTGCTCGTGATCTCCGTCTTCTATGAGGGAGAAGAGGAGATCGCTGAAACCTACCGAAACTGGGGTAAGTAATATCTCCTCCATTTTTTTTTTCTTTGATTAATTTTCTGCAAAGGGTGGACTATACCTTTAATAGAGGTATGACCTTCCTCCAAAGCTGGACATACAGTAGATTTCCTAACAAACTTTCGTACAAAAGATCTTTCTGTATCACCCATATAACGTCATCAGACACTTGGCGATTGTTGATCCAAATTTTGTTTAAAGGAGAACTATAGGGCCAGGGCTTTTCCCCATAGTTCTCCTAAGGGTCACGGGAGAACACAAACTAGCGTTCTCCCGTGACCCAAAGCTCAGTATACCGCGAGCTGCTACTCGCGGTATACTGAGACGCTGCAGCCGGAACATTTCCCGACATTGCTGTCGGGATCCACCCAGCTGCGGGATTGACAGCTGGCTCTGCCTATCCAGAGGCAGAACCACATGTGCCCGTCCCCTCCCCCGTCCTTTTCCACCAGTCAGCACTGGAGGATCAGACAGGGGAGGGGGGGAATCCCTGCACGGAGCCCTGACTGACAGTTACGGCTCTCTGCAGGGATAGATCGAGTAGTGAGCGAGCGACGGTATGTGTTCGCTCACTTCCCGATCTACTGAGCCGACTTGTGACAGTTTCATTGTCACAGGTCGGCTCAGATTATGAGTGAAAATCACTTGCCTCATAATTCTCCTTTAATTCTAATGTTTCATTTTGGAATGAATGGAGTTTTCCGAACGAAAAACCACATTCACTCTTAGAATTTTGTCCGTTTGAGAAAACGTTTCCATCCGGCTCCTTTGAGTTTTTTCATCAGTACGGTTGAAATCGATCGCCAATTTGACCCCATCAACAGAAAGTCAAATGAAAGATCTTTGGTATGAAAGTTCTTCAGAAAATGTAAGCAGTGTATGGCCAGCTTTAATCTCATCACTGACCGTCATGTGGAAGCAGCCGATAGTCCTACCATCCATCCACCTAATGAGATCCAAAGTCTTGTGTCCACACTATAGGAATACATGTGGAATGGCAGACAACCCAATATACAATGAAATCAGCCCCTTCAAGTTTCAGCAATGGCCGGTCGTCATTTGCATGTTAAAGGACGGCGGGTGAGACAGAAGGATGTTAGGCATCCATTAAGTTACTCAGTATGTACAAGGAACCACGAGATAAATACATCGCTGTTTAGAAAACAAACAGATTAAAAGATTTGATTCTTGTTGTATTCATAGAATCATGATAATGAGCTGCATGATATTATGCTTACAGATTTCTATTGGCTAACGTCGAGTAGAACTGAAGCCATTAAGACATTTGTTTAGTTGTGGAGAGTAAGGAAAGGTTATAAGCCCTGCCAGCTTTTTGCCATCTGTGTAGCATTGGGGAGATTTCTCTTCACTTCCTATCTGATAGTCACGACAGGAAGTGAGAGAAAATCCCTGGAGGTCAGCAGGGTCACCAGAACTTGTGTTATTATTATTCAGGATTTATATCGTTTGTGCAGAGCTTTACTATATAACAAAGACATTACAGTTACATGACAAGACAAGCTGGTATGGAGGGCCCTGCCCGTAAGAGTTTACAATAAACAAGATATTGCCTTCTGTTCCTGTTCTGATGACAACCCCCACTCTGGGATTTTCTTTCAGTGATAGTGGTCACCAGCACAAATAGGGTGAATCTTCCTAATGGGGACACAGACCACAAAACAAACCTGACAGAAGTTCTAATCCCTCTCTACTCTATTCAAAGCAAAAAAAGAAGTTTTGGCTTCAGTTGCATTTTATATTAATAAAAATTCAAGCTCTTGGGATTATTATTATTAGACATGTGCGTTCCGTTTCGGACGAACTTGCAAAATAACGGAATTCCATTAGATTCGTCTATTCATCCGAATTCAAATGAATGAATTATTATTGTATGCCTGAATATATGAAAAATATACTTGGGCATATAATAATTTGTTTGCAGAACAGAAACAAATAATGAGGTTGTTTCGGAGTCAGAGGCAACGAACCTCCGAATTCGAAACCACACATTTAAACAGCAGAACGCACGGCGGCCATATCAGCCACCCACGCGTCCTCGGCATGAGCGCCACCATCTTGGAGGCGGAGCATGTGACATCACATGACGCCACGCATGCGTGCTGTTGGATGAATGCATCCGAAGGTATAGGCGCCGCCATCTTGGTGTATGAGGGAATGCCCATACATGCAGATGACGTCACCCGACACCAGCCACGCGCGGCGTCATGTGACGTCACATGCGCATAACGCGCCAGTGGCTGGTATGGGCGCCGTAAGTTCTGCTGTTTAAATGTGCGGTTTCAGAGTGAGAGGTTCGTTGTCTCCGACTCCGAAACAGCATCATTATTTATCAAATGAAATGATCAACTGAATCCAATTATCAAATGAAACGAAAATAAAAATGTTTTTCTTTTTGATTAGTTTCGCCTGAAACAACTTTATAAGCTGTACACATGTCTAATTAGTATTACGGATTTGTATAGCGCCGACAGTTTGCACAGCACTGTACAATATAAGGAAGACATTACAGGTACAATACAATTAAACACAGGATGGTTGGGAGGGTCCTGCCAGTGAGAGCTTACAATCTAAATCTCGATCTCTTCCTCTGGCTTTATACCATATGTATATGAGGAAGAAATATATAAATTAGGGATCTATCTCACCCTGAAAGCTCCTAGAGAAAAAGGAACACTAAACCCTTGCAGTGCTGGAGTAGTCCCCACTGCAAGGTTTACATTCTCTAAAACTTCCTGCATTAATCGATGGCTGACACCGTACAATACTCTATTAAACATATATTTTAAAATATAATATTCAGTTTGTGCCAGAGATGGAAAATGTAAAAATTAGAAGCTAGCATGTGAAATAAGAACATGTTATATATGTGGTCACAGCTTCTGCCGAAGTATCAGCACCAAAGTTATTTCTAGCAGACCTTTGGTGAGCCACATAGTTGTGCTGAGTACATGTGGAGGGAGGATGTGGGTGTGCTGTGCATATAATGGCATGCAATCAGTGTCCCCTGTCCCGGGGGATGTCACCCTGCAGGCATACATGACACCACACTGGCCTGGGAATGGAGAGGACACACGGCTCTGCACGTATCCCAGCTGATGATAGGAAACCGACGGCACTCTTTGCTGCCCCTAGCGGCCACTAAGAGAACTGCAGCGCTCTCAATGTAACCACAAAGAGCAATTGCATCAGGACCGCAGGATGAGCTCACTGCACACAGCACAGTCTGTTGCCAATCTACAGCATGCATTACATCAGATTGTGATCAATAACAAACTGGGGGCGTTATAAAGAACACTAATCTTAGGAATGCTAATGTATTCTACTAATGTGATGAACAAGTTTAAATGTTTTCATTAGCATTGCATATTTATGTGAAATCCATTCCTTATTAATTCACAGAAG